ATGGTTTGTATTTTTGTTTGGTTTTTTGGGGGGGTTAGTTCTGGGGTTAATTCTATGTTTGTTTGGGGGTGGTTGTGGAGTGATGATGACAGTTGGTTATTGGTTTTGATACTAGGAAATATAGAGGAAGGTTAATTGAAAGTGTATTGATGACAAATTATTTGGATAATGTAGGGATATATGGTTTAATTATTTGACCAAAAAAAAGTCAAGGTTACAAAAAATGGATGCATAAAACTGAATTTAAATACTAGTTCCTGGTAAATGATAAAATAATTAATATGTCTGGCAGCCATTACACTATCTGTAATGGTTACCAGAAACACATGAGTCTGGTGTGGCACTGAAACCCCAGAGGGTTCAGGTCCTTTCCCTGCAGGTGGATGAGCAGTGCGAGCTGTGTTGGAGCTCACCCCTATAACCCAGCCCCATCTCTCCAGGATGTGCCTCCATCAGCAGAAGCTGCTCTCAAATCTTGGAGAGTGATGCTTTGCATGTGGCAGCAGGACCCCAGCAGCAGCAGATTGAGTTTCCCATTTCCCCACTGACTCTTGGGTTTTCCCATTTCTGTCCCACACATTGAGACTGCAGCATTTTTAATACAGCAATCATCCTTGTCCTGCTCGTGGCTGTGGGTACAGCTCCCCATGCAAACTGTGTGTGTTAATTCAGCAATCATCCTTGTCCTGCCCGTGGGGAGGATCCAGCTCCCCACACAAACTGCCCCTGCTGGGGTCAGGCACTGCCAGGGCAGGGGGGCTCAGGCTGGGGGTCCATGGTGGATGCTGGGTGACAATGAGAGCACCCCCAAGCAATGCTGCAGTGGGAAATGGGAACAGGGAGAAAGAGAAAGGGGTTAAAACCACCCCACTTACTGCTCATACTCCTCGGTGACCTCCTCTGTGTCTGACATCCCCGGTTCTCTGGCAGAGGTGGAGGCAGATTGGAAAAAGTGAGGGTTAGAAGGGAGATAAGGGCTGGCACAGCCTGTCCCTCAGCACAGAACAGGGGCACAGAGATGCTGCCTCTCTCCAAAGCCCTTGGAGCTGCCAGCTGTCCCCAGCTAGGCTGCGACAGCGTTATCTCAGCAGAGATAAGGTGCCTGCCCCCGCCCTGTCCTGGGATCACAGCATGCCCCAAACTGGAGGCAGGAGGTTGGACACCACCTCTGTGACACTGATAACTCTGTCAGGAGCATGTCCAGGGCACTCAGCCCCCTGGCCCAGCCCTCTCAGGGGCTGTGTTTGCTCAGGGCACAGGAAAATCACCCATTGCAGTGTTCAGCTTGTTTTGCTTCCTGACTATTCTTAGCCCAGGGATGACCCCTTCGCTCAGATTTCCAGCCCTGCACCAGGCACAGCACAAGCCCTCAGCAAACCCTCCCAGCCCAGCCCTAAAAGTGCAGAACTGCTGGGAAAGGGGCAGCCTGGCCTCAGCAGGTGCATTCTCCCCCTGTTAGCTAAAAGGAATAATTTTCAGCCTCGTTTAGTAACTTAGCCCTCATTTCAGGGCTAAAACATCTGCAGAAACAGCTTTTCATCCTCCCAGCACATCTGTCTCCCTCCCATCTGTGCTCAGGAGGACTTTGCTCATTATCTCACCTTATCTGACCTTCACCCAGCGCTGCACTTGGAGATCTGCACCCACCAGCCCCATCCCTGGACATCCTGGAGCAGCCCAGAGCCCCAGCTCAGCCCAGAGCCCCATCCTGAGCCCAGCCCAGAGCCCCATCCTGAGCTCAGCCCAGAGCCCCAGCCCAGCCCTGTCCCCTGCTCGTGCCAGCCCTCAGCAGGGCTGAGATGCCACAGGACGATGCAAGGCAGCTCAGAAATAACTTCCATGTGCTGAAGCACCTGTTCCCAGAGCAGCAAGGCTTCCCTGCTGCTGCTACCCAGAGTCTGAGAGCAACTGCTCCTGTTTGCATCTGTCAGGCATTCATTACCCGGGATGGGGAGGCCAGGCCTCAGGCTTATTCAGGATGCTGGAGCCAGGGCTGGAATGCTCAGGCATGGCAAAGGGGCATACCAGGAGGGGAACCTTGGCATACCCATGGCTCCAGAGGGTCTCTAATCTCAGTGTTCCCCACAAGGAGCTTTTTGGAGACAAAGGCAGAACTCGGCCCCCTCTGCCTCGGCGTCACCACCTGCTCCTGCCACCACTGTTCCCCTTTCTGGGATGGGTCTGGGGCTTGGCTCCAGCACCATCCCCAGGATCCCTGCTTCCCACCAACAGCAATTCCTGCTTTTTCCCCAGGCTCAGCATGGTCCTGATGTCCCAAGTGTGGCCAAATCTGAGCTCCACACAATCATTTCATGGCACGGGAGAAGAGGGTTCCCAGTCCCCAAGCCTCTTCCTACATTCTCACTGCCCTCCTCCCTCAGACACCATTAGATCCCACAGAGCTGAGGGAACAGCAACAAGTCCGGCACTGTTAAGAGGGTACACAAAAGAGAAAGCGGCCCAAGGAAATATTTATGCATCCTCTGCACAGAAACACATAAACCTTTTCATTAAAGCTTGGAAATCTTGATTTGGTAGAATTAGGAGAACCCAGCAGATATTACAGAGGAAGTATTGCACTGACTAGAAAAAATCTCCAAGAATTTGCTGTGTATTAAACAATCCAGATATTCCTCATACTCCTTGAAATCCCCCTGTCCTTTAGCTCAGGGCTGGCTGCTCACAGCTCTGATGCTGAGTTAATTCTCCACAGTTCTG